TAGTAGTAATCAGAAAGTGATTTTTTATATACTAGGCTAAATGTGATCTTCCTTTTTGTTACCACTTTCCTTTTCCATATGAGCTATTAGATTACTCCTCCCCTGCAGATATACAATGAAGCAAGAGTATGGCAGCAATATCAAGGGCCTGGTTTTGAAAACGTATGTGGATTCTGTGGCCTCACCTGATACTGCCTAAATCCTACTAATGATCGCAACAATGTAAAAATCATCTTCCTAATCATTTGGAATGACCCTTTAGGAGCTCTCAGGACACTGTTCTTTCTTAGTGTGAAAGCACCTTTTAAAAACAACAGCTGACAGCCTTAGTTTGTACCATGTTATATGGAAGGGCTGCTAAGTCAACATAAGAGACCATCGAACTGTTGATCTCAGTATCCTGTCTTTATAGAGAAATGGCAAAAATAGATGGTAATGCCAGAAAACTTAGAATAATTTTTGTTCATTTTAAGTTTTAGTTATGTCCATATCCCTCAGCTGTAGCCAGGTCAAAACAAAAATGCATAGCAGTGCAGGAAGACACTTCGTATCTCCCTGAACTTCTGTGAATCCTTTGGGAGCAGGGGGATTCATCTTACAGGATAAAGCTCGCTTGCTTTCAGCAAATTTCATGTAGTTATAAACACAGAATCATAGAACGGTTTGGGTTCCAACCTGACCTTTAACACTTCCAGGGATCCACAGCTTCTCTGGGCAACCTTTTCCAGTGCCTCACTACCCTCACATCAAAGAATTTCTTCCTAATATCTAATCTAAACCTACTCTTTATCAGTTTGAATCCATTCCCCCTTGTCCTGTCTTTACATGCTCTTTTGAAGTCCTTCTCCATCTTTCTTCTAGGCTTTTCTCAGGTACTAGAAGGCAGCAATTAGGTCACCCTGAAGTCTTCTCTTCTCCAGATTGAAAATCCCAATTTTCTCAGCCTTTCCTTGTACAAGATGTGCTCCATCTCTCTCATCATCTTGATGGCCTCCTCTGGACTCACTCCAGCAGATCAATGTCCTCCCTGTGCTGCGGATGCCAGAGCTGGACGCAGTACTCCAGTTGGGGTCTCACCAGAGCAGAGTAGAGGGGCAGAATCACCTTGACCTGCTGACCATGCTTCTTGTGATGCAGCTTGCGATACAACTGGCTTTCTGGGCTGCAAGTGCACATTGCTGGATAATGTCCAGCCTCTCATCCACCAGCATCCCCAAGTCCTGCTTGGCAGCGCTGCTCTCAATCTGTTCATGTCCAGCCTGTATTGAGACTGGGGGTTGCCCCGACCGAGGTGCAGCACCTTGCCCTTGGTCTTATTAAACATTATGACATTCCCATGGACCCACCTTGAGCTTGTCCAGATCCCTCTGGATGGCATCCCATCCTTCAGGTGGTGTGATCAACCACACCACTCAGCTTGGTGTCATCTGCAAATTTGCTGAGGGTGTACTCGATCCCTCTGTCTATGTCATTAATGAAGATATTAAATAACGCTGGTCCCAATATAGACCCCTGAGGGACACCACTTGTCAGTGATGTGACCATCCAACCAATTCCTTATCCATCCAACAGTCTACCCATCAAATCCATCTCTCTCCAATTTAGAAAGCAGAATGTTGTGGGGGACCATGTCAAAGGCTTTCCAGAAGTTCATATAAATGACATCTGTATCCCTTCCCTTGTTCACTGATAGAGTCATTCTGTCATAGAAGGCCACTTGGTTATTCAGGCAGGACTTGCCCTTGGTGAAGCTGTGCTGGCTGTCTCAAATCACCTCCATCTTCTCCATGTGCCTCAGAAGAGCTTCTAGACAGATCTGTTCCATGACCTTCCTATGTAGAGGTGAGGCTGACAGGTCATAGTTCTCAGGGTCCTCCTTTCTACCCTTTCTAAAGATGGGTACAATGTTTCTGTTTTTCCAGTCACCTGGGACTTCACCTGACTGCCAAGACTTTTCAAATATCATGGCATGTGGCTTGGCAACTACATCCGCCACTTCCTTCAAGACACTGGGATGCATCTCGTCATGTCCCATAGACTTATGTATGTTCAGGCTCTTGACCTGCTCATGTCTGTTCTTCAAAGACAGCTCTTCACACTCAATACAACTCTCGATGTAGAGGGCAACCTCTCCCCCTCTCTTCCCTCTCCTGTCTTTTCTGAACAGCCTGTAGCCATTGATAGCTGCATTCCCATCATGGAATTCATCCCACCAAGTGTCAGTAATGGCAACAAGGACATAACTTTTCAGCAGCATGGTGTATTCCAACTCCTCCTGTTTGTTGTCCATGCTTTGTGCACTGGTGTAAAGGTACCTCAGCCGGGCTGTCAGCCATGGTGCCTTCTCAGAGGAATGCCCCTTAATTCCTTTGAGATATTTCGTTAGTGTTTCCCTGTTGGCTTCTGTTCCCTCAGGAGTCCCTGGCTGGTCTCTATAAGACTGCAAGTGTGCTGCTTGTAGCTAGCAAAATTAATGTGGAATGTCACAGGAAATGAAAACATGCACAATGCACACCACTTGTTTGCTGCTTGAGAATCAGCTGGTTTTCCTTTCACTTTAATAAACATCCTGTATCAGGGCAGATTAAATAACTAAAACTAATAGTAGTCATATATATAACACACTCACTGCAAGCCTCTGTCCATTACTTGTTTTCACTTTTAACATCAACCTTTATAACTACGGCATGCAACTGAGCAAGCATTTCCATAAGTAATATAAAGGAAAGATGTTTTTGAAATCTTTGTATTTGAATAGTTATATACTTCAGAAAACACTCGTGACTGAGGCTCTGCCTAAAAGCACAATTTGAATGAGTGAAAAAAATATAGATAGTGTCTTTATTAGTGTCTCATCATTAAAAATATACAGTTAGTATTGGAAGATTTAGAGTAACTTATTATAGCAGGTAAAATATATAGCTGTCAAATTATTGGTTGTGTCAGCTATAATTACATAGGTTGCCACGGATTTATTAATTGTGCATTGTCTTCTGTGAGACCTGAGAGTACAATGTTACTGTTTTAGATGACTCAGTCTCTGCTTTTCAAGGGAAATTTACATGAGCAAACTTTTATCTATAATTTTTAAATGTATGCATGTCTAATTTAGACTGTTTTCATATCAAACTATTTGATTTGAAAGTACAATAAAATATTTAGAGACATATGTCCCAGATTTTCACCCACATTTCATTTATACATGTAGGCACTGGCAATAGAAAAGGCAGTGGTCTTTAGGAAAGGTGGCTCTTTCTGACTGGCAACCAAGTCCACTAGGGAATGTTCAAATGTAAATATTTACAACTATTTTGGCCACCTCAAAAATCCAAAAGAATGGAGTTCTATTTTCAGATAGCCCCACTTTCAAATTCTCCCTTTGAAAAGAATATCTGGTCTTTTAAGCCTCTGAAAAAGGTTAAAGACAAAAATTACATTTTCACAATTTTAATTGATGAAAAAAAGGAAATGGAATTTTAATAGGGTGGAATGCATGACTTTTTGAGATGGCTTGCCTTTACCCCTTCCACTTAATGCCATTTGAGCTAGAATAGCCGTACAGTTTTCTGAAGTCAAAGTTTAGAATAAAAATGCTAGTTGCTGTTTAATTATTGGGTCACTGCTGAATATCTGTAATATAAAGACTTAGTCCCTTTTTACACACCATATGAAGGAGTCCTTTGACCTTTGAGGTGACTGTTGGTCTTTGGGTCATCCATGCCTATCTTCACCTCCAATGTCAGTGATGTTAATACAAAAGGAAGTCAGCAGAATTTCAGAAGACTGGTACTGTCTTAGCAGTATTTTGTTGGTAGCACTGCCATTATTACATTTTATGCTACTGCTGCCAGATAGAGAGAAGAGTTTTGGCTTCAGTGAATACAATTGCAAAATTCCTGTTTTATCCTGGATGAGGTAACACTTTGAACTGCCTATTCACAGTTTCACAGGCAGTGACACCAAAAAAAAAAGCTCTGACAGTCTTCAAGTTCTGCCCTCTTTACACCCTCTCTAGCCAAGATTGCTTAGTGTTATAAAGAATTGCCATAATCACAGAAGCTGCTGACAGAAATAACTTATTGCAACAAAAACCCATGCAGGCCATACCTTATCATTAGGAAACTGTCTTTTGTAGGGTCATTCAAAGGGTTTTCGGTAGTCTTCTTTAGGGTTCTGTGTGGCTTGATTTCTAGTATGTTCACTGAGGCTGCAGCATGACCAGAAACATCTTGATACTGAGTTTAAATTTTCCATTCTTTAGTTTTCTTCCATATTCTAATTAGGTCTTCTAAATTATTAATTCAGTTCCCATAATGGACTTTTAAATTTCTGAACTTCTGCCACACATATCAGTCCCTTTAGAGCTCCTTGTAGCCAGATTCTGTATTTTTAGCAGTTTGAATCTTACTGTAGTTCCAGATATGCAGTCATATATGTTGCCATTTCTGGACTTCCTCCACTGTCTCTTTAACATGGGATGCTTCCATTGATTTGAAATCAAAATCATGTTCATAAAGTTTTTTAAAATGGCCCATTTTAACTTCTAGTAGATTGCTGCGCTGCAGTGGGATTTGAGAGAAGAATTTCATTTACAGGCAACTATGTGCTGATCACCCAAATACCAAAAATGACAAAGAACAGAATTTCAACTGCCCTTCAGCTATTTTTACTACCTGCACGTAGTTTCAGCTTGCTCTATTGGTAATCAACAAACCACTTGCTCACTCAAGGTTGAAACATGCATTTAACTGTTTTGCTGAATTCTCACCTTAGGCAACATGTAAAATTAATCTCAAATTAGTTGACAAGGAGGTGGGAGATGATAATTGGTCCTTCTATATAAAGTGAAAATTTAAGAGTTGCATTTCACTTCCTTTTTTTTTTTTAATTGCTACCCCACAATAATTTTCAAAAAATTATTTAGAAATCATTTGTAAGAGACAGGACACAATAGAAAACAAGACAAAGAGAATTCATTAATTGTTTCATTTCTATTTTAGGACTGCAAGGATACCTTGAAAAATATCTGGAAGAGAAGGCCCCAGCTCTGATTTTAGTACCTGTGGTGGACTTACCTGGCAAGGAAGTTATTCATATGATATGCTGGCTAAGCTAGCAGTTCAAAAGAGATGAGCTGATGTCGAAACACACATACATTCCATGCAGGAGAGAACAAAGAAAAGAGTCAATACCAACTGTGTTGGATACTTTCATGAAGCAATATTGTTTGATTTAAGCAAAGTCGTATTTAGCTTGTTAATGATGCCTCATTATATGTGACAGAGTCAGGTTTGTATGAAGAATAAAGGTTTCATTTAAAAATAATGTACTTCTTTCTCACTTATTTTTAAATATCTACAGGTAATAGCAGGTGGCTCTTGGGAGATGCAGTTGATCAGATCACATCAGCTCTTTTGTTTTGTATATTTAGGCCTGGTTACAATACACTGATTATAACTTCAGATCATTTGGATGGAAGTGAAACCAGAATATTACCTCCAATACGGTTTTAAAGACTGGATTCCTTTCAATTCTATGTTGAATATACTCACTTCAGGCCAACTCATGGAAACCTTATTTGTGGCCAAATTTTATCCATTTTCTAGCACAGTAGAAGAATTATTCAGAGGAGTATTCAGTATGCATATTTTACAGAAACAAATAATGGAGATGATGGCCAGACAATAGGATTTGCCATCCTGCTTTCTGAGGCAGGGGTATCTTTATGCTTTACATCTGGTAGACAGCTCTTATTAAAGAGCTACCAATATTCAGGAAGCTACCAGTATTCAGAGCTACCATTAAAGCAGGGCTTCAGTCTTGTCCAGAAAATCAACAGGAGTTTTACCACTGCTTTCACTAAAACCGACTCAGACACACAGCTCCTATCAATTTCATTGCCACTGATATTTTACTCATTACATAAGGTCAATACAAGAAAGAAAGCCTTTTGCACTGTAGAGAAATCTTACTTTCAGGAAAAGGCTATAAAATTAAACTTTAAAGAAAGAGTATCAAACCTTTGCCTTGCCTATGTTCTATATCTGTATGTTCTTACTGCTTCTCTTCCAGTGTGTGAGCACTGGAGCACTCTTGCAGCAGCATATAACTGAGAAGACAGCTGCACGGTAGTAAGTTTATATTGAGGTAACTAAGAGGTGGAGCTAGCATTCTGATTTAATTTTCTTACCCGCTACCAGAAATGCACTTGGCTGCACCTGAAATGAAACAAGTGACTAAAAATAAGATCTTCCTCTGTTAGAAGCTTTGCATGGCCAGCATACTATGCTGATCAATATTTGAAATTAGAGACTGTTAAATGTTACTGTTCCTTACTATTACATCAAGTAATATAGCAGAGCTGCCATGTTCTTTAGTAAAAATTACTTTTTTCACAGGTCTTCAAATATTTTTGAAAGGGGAAGGCAAAGAGTGCCTGTTATATAACAGTGTATAAATATATGTATGTATTAAATTTCTGAAGGAAAAAAGGATGAACCTGTTAACAATTCATTAGTTGATTAGTATTCAGTATCATTTTTATGTTAGACTTAAAACATATTTGATCCTTGTTCTTTCCCACAGTCGAAAGAGGGCTTGTTAATACCTGGGTGTGCCTGGTTTATTTCAATTCTACTCTTTTAGAAGGCTAAATCGTTTTCTCACTTCTCCCTGGAAATACTTTATTTCTCTCACTGTGGAGTGCTCACAGACCACAGACCCAAGCTGGACTGAATCAGAAGAGAAGGAGATGTACTTTCAGAGAGATAAGGATGAAGTTTAAGTTCACATTGATACATACAGAAACCAAAGAGATGGCATAAGTTTGACTTATGCAATGACTCCTGTAGCAGTCATTGTTTTCCTTATGAGTTTAAAAATGATAATGAAACGTTGATCTTAGCTTTTGTACTGTACTGCATATTTTAAGGTGGCAGGATATTTGCTCCTAAAGAAACTAGCTTTTTCTGCAAGTATTCCTGTAAGATTTGTGACTCAAATTAGCCTTCTTTTTTCCCATTAGAACTGCATTGAGAAATGGTAATAGAATGCATTGGGCTGAAAACAGTGTGATCATCTATTTTTCTCTCAACTGAAAGCAAACCTTTTCTTTTTTTTTTTTTTGAGAACTAAAACTTCAACTGGTTTACATTGTTAATAGCTAAAAAAGAATAGTTTGATGACTTTTTCTCCTTGAGAGGTTTCAAACAGTGTTTAAGTGGTGTGAGTAACTAAAAGGATAAGCTGAGTCTGTGGTGTTTTAGGTATGAACAAGGCCATTTGTTCAACACTGATATGCAAGGTAGGTGATTAAAGTGTTGTGCACCATATAGAGACTTAAGACTTTTATAATAGAAGGAAATAGCACCATTTTATCTGCCTTATTTTTATCTTTCTTTGTAACAACAGTGCTAGCTGACTGTGAGGTAGGGAGACGGGCATAGACACATACATGCACATACATATATGTGTTTTAGTGAAAAGAGGGAAAGACATCTGATACTCAAAATTTATAGATGCAGGGGGGTTTTGTCTTTTTGTTTTTAAATGGGTTTTTTTTCAAAGCAAGCTTAGTAGAGTATTTACCCCAGCAAGTTTTAATCTTGAGACTGCAAATTCCCATATATGCTAAAACACTGGTTTTGAAGACTTATATATACACACAAATTCTTCTGTTCCTCTGATTTTAACTAAACCAGCAAGAGAATGTTTTGTGTGCATATTACGACACAAAAAAGTTGGCTTATCTAGACTCCAGCACTCAGAACACAGAAGAGCTATGTAATGGGTGGAAAAATGTCTTTAAAATGTAACCCAAGGTTTAAATTTTTCGTTCTCTTCTTAACAAGTGTTAGAATATGTCTTACACACTTTTTCTGGTTCTTTTTTTTCCCAGAAATAATCTATGTCTTGTTATAGTTCTCTGTGTCTGTGAAATTTTGTCTCTTCCTCCTTTTAAAATTCTCTTTATATCAATGTCTTTAATTGCTTGAAAGTATGACCAAATGGCATTGCAAGACCAAAACTGATTTAGTAACTTTGCACTGTACTCATTTCAAAACCCAGTGATGGCAACAGTACCAGTGAGCCTTTACAAAGCACATGGCTAAGGTGCTATAAAGGCACCAGAGCTGATCTTCCTAAATAGATTTTAAAATGACACTGAGGTATTTTAAGCAGAGATTATTTAATTTTTTTCCCTCTGAGTTTTACAGTTAGGTGATTCAGCAGCTGATTTGTTACACCAGATAGCATGGGCGCATCTTTCCTCTTAGCCTTCAGAAGTCTGACGAGCATTGGAACTATGATGTCTCCTGAGTATTAGAAAGGTAATCTGAAGCAGCTCTTCTCCTTCAAGGACATCCTATTCAATCCATTATCTCCTGTCTATGTGCAGAGTCTAGTCTATCAAAATACAGTGACTGAATAAAACTTTTATTTCAAATAAATGAATGCATCAGTTTAATAAAAGATTTGTACTTCATGGTGTAACAGTTCTTTAAATGAACGCAGAAATCCTACAGTACAGAAACTTTTTCATGCATCATGTTTTCATTTAACTTTTAAAGAATAACATTGTTATTTCTTTCAGGAGGGGTTTGCTGAAGCAAACCTATCTTATTCTGTGTGTTAAAGTAAAACTGTTCTGAGTACTAACCGGCACTTAATATTTAAGTAACCTGCTTTTACTATTATAAATGTCTGGCATTGAGAATACATATTAAGAATACTTGACAATTTACTAATTTATGATCTTTTTACTTGTATTTTAATACTTCTGGCAAGCCAGCTTGTGTTGATGTATTAGACAAACATTCAAAATACAGACTTGAGACTTTGCAAGCTTCTTTTTTTCAACTTTCATCTGAACACTGAATATTTTTGACCTATTTTAAATTTTAATTTTAAAAAACAGACTGGGTACCTGTGAACTGAACTCATATGTTGCATGCAAGTGCCCTTTTACTGATGATTCACTGCTCACAATTTCTTGGATTTGACTTCTGTTGGATTAATTCATGGCTAGGATTTGCCTGTGATTTCCTGCTTTTCTCATTTTTTTCTTAGAGCACTGTCTGCTTTTTCCCTACATTCCCAAATAGACAATTTGTTCTGAGGATCTTCTCATAGGATATGTCATCAGCCTTGCCTTTGCCTTTGCCTTGATTCTCCATTTCATTTGCAATGTTTAAAAAACACTTTTTGGATATGTCTGTTCATCCTCCATTTTCTATTATATGGCTATTTTCTGACTGTATCAACTAATCCTAAATCATCCTGAAATACTGTTGGCATGATTTAACTGGGCTGACAAGACTTAGTGTCCACAGTGCAAATAGGATGTACTCAGAATAGGTCAGATTTCACATTTGTTTTTCCCAGCTTTCAGAAATTCCAGCTCTTCTCTAAATTACAAAGATCCCCAGATCAGAAGAAAATAAATGTTTCAGAACAAAAAACCAAGCTGAACAAAGTGACAGATGCTCCAATCTAGTAACCTGTTAGGGGGCCTGTTAAAGTCAGGAGGCATAGGTTAGGATCACACTACTGCTTTCCTGGATAAGTTTAAGCATATCCATTTGATTTCTTGTGCCTCTATTTCCATATTTTTATGTTTTCTCACCCTTTCCAAGGTGTTGGCAAAGGGATGCTATGTTGTAGTCATACAACCTGCAATAGCAAAAAGTTTAGACTGAGTGAGCAGCACACATGAGTGTGAAAGTAATGTTGTAGTGGGAACCAGAACGAATGTGATCACAGATAGGAATTTGCATGAGCACAATCTGGAAAGCTTTTCCCCCAGCACACTGCCTGCAGCAGTCTCAGATCACAGGAGAAGTCTATAATACATCTAGTAAAATTAATGATACATTTTACAGCGTGATTCATCCCTGATGATCCCGAAGGGCTTTACAAGTCCATCACATAAAATTTGCCTGGGCCATCACTGGGACAGCCACACATGCTGGGGGCCTCCCCTTGCAGCATGAGTGTGGGCAGGTCTCTGTGGTTATGCTGCTGGGAGAAGAGCTCCTCCACTCTCCACAGTTCCCAAGTAGGGGTATTTGCTTTGACAGAAGCAGTTTTCAACCTCAAAGGCACATCACCAGGCAGCTAGTGTTATTACTTACTGTTACTCATGAGAAAACTTGTTCTACTTTAGATTTTGCCATGATACAGGGGGAGAATCCCTCTTCTATGCTCCATCAGGCAGCAGTCTCTGTTCTCCTTCTGCAACTCCTGCTGCTGGCAGCTGTTGACAGTACTCTCTGACCTGGTACATCATGTTATTGCCATAGCCCCACTTCGTTTGTCGGAGATGGAAGTTTTGTCATTGCATTAGAGGTGCAAGCTTGTGCAAGCATTGCTTCATCTTCACTGATTCCCATGGGTTTGCTGGTAGCTGCCTTGACAGTAATTTATTTTTGTTGCTTATAAAAGACCGGGGGCCCAGAAGGAAGAAATACATTTCTCAGATATAAGAGTTATCTTGTTGCAACAAAGTTTAGTGCTACTTCCAGACATACTCGACCATTCTGCAGCAAGACACGGATACATGCAGATGTAGAGTCTTTTGTAATCAAATTTCCACAACTCCAGAGCTGTTAAGATTTAAAGGAGGAGGTGTTAAAGAATACAAAATAAAAGAAAGGAAACACAGACAAGAAGTCATTGTCAAAGGAATGATATTACTAGGAACTGGTGGGGAAGTCAAGCTAAAAAAGGCAAACAACAGGTCTAGGGTTTATTCTTTATTTGTGGGATGTATTTGAAGGAGAGGACCCTGGACTGCCTCTCACTATTGCTAGTTCTAACTATAAAAGATTAATGCATGAAGAACAAAGAGGAATAAATAGAATTGCCAGGAAAAAGATCCAGAAGTGAACTTTAAAACACATCTCTCATCCCTTCAACAAGGTATAAAATGGTAAATGCTTTGACTACTCTAACAGCATGCTTTGGTCTGGCTTCTGAA